ACTTCTTCCGGTTGAAAAAGTAATTCCCCTTTCTCAATTTCTGTGTCTTGTGAATCTGCTGCAGGTTGACCGACCAGAATCCCTGTTTCTGCTTCACCGCTACTTTGCTGCTCTGCTTCCTCTGCTTCACTGCTGCTGCTGGGTCCCCAAGGTTGTATAGGTTTGTTGTCAAGTTGTTGTAAAGTATCGTTATAATTCCTCCATGCTAATGTGTCTTCCTCTGCTGTGTTTGTTGGCCAGGAATCAAGAGCCGTGATAACCGCTGCTGCTGTACGAGATCCTGTTGGCACTGCAGTTGCACGGAAGTCGATGTCAACGTTCTGGAAGTCAGTTTCTTCGGGATGTTGCCAAGGTCCAAGAGACAACACTCTTTCAGAAGATCCAGTAGTTCCTTGCGACTCGAATTGAAGAACGGAGATCCCATACTGAGTGGCGGCTCTCCCGATGTAAGTGTTTGAATCATTATGATAAATTTCTTGATCCATTGTCTCACAGTTTCCTTGTGTCCGGATCTTATGTCGTAGGAGTTGAGCCGTTGAAAGAAGATTAAAGCCGAGTCCCTCGATGATGAGGACATTTGTAACATGTAAGGAAAAACCTGTATCCACTGAATCCAACATGACGCTCCCAATTGACTTTGCCATTATCGTTTGTCCATTTGCGACTGTGACAGGTATTGGACGACGAAGCGGACGCTGATGAGTAATGAAGAGCGTCTCGGCAGAGCACATGTGTTGTCCGCAGCAACTGTCAAGTGTTCGGTCCTGCGATGACCCGAGCAAGGTTAGCATAAACTTGAGGTAAAACCATGTTCTCAGGTTGCTGGATAGAATTTTTGTCATCGTCGTCGTCGAAATCTGAGTCTGTTGCATGAACTGTTGTAACGCAGCTAAAAACGTGTTTTGCTGATGTTGCAGGAGTTGTTGTCGATGGATTCTGCTTCGCGGGTTGCTTGAACTGCTGCGACTGCTGCTGCTGTCCCCCGCTTTTCCTATCAGCTTGAAGCTTGTGACAATTTTTTTTGCTGTGTCCATCCTTTTTGCAGTAGTGACAGAAGTATTTGATGACGCGTTTCGTAGGTGTTGAATAAAAACTGATGTTAACTGCTCCCTTCTTGTTATGTGCTGTTTGCAAGTCAAGATCTTGTTGCTCTGCTTGAAGAATGGAGCATATTTCTGCTTCCGAAAGATTGGGTTGAAGACGAAGGAGGGATCGACACTGCCGCCATTCTGCTTCAAGACTGGCAAGAAGGACGGTTACAAACATGTCCTTCGGGAAGTACCCGCTGCACTTTTCCAATTGGTCGCGAAGTGTTCGAGCCCTGTTGACGTAATCCGAAACATTCTCGTTGCCCTGCATATGTACAGTTGTCAGTTGTGAGAGAATTTTACTCACGGATATTGTATCCCGTGCCATGTATAATCCCTTCAAATGTTTCCACGCAGATTCTGCTGGAGTCAAAATGGTGTGAAGAGAGCGTATACCAAGCTGCTCTTTCAGCGACAAATTGCGGACAAGGACGGTGTACGAGCTGAGTGAAGCATGAATAAAACATTGTTTTTCCATCTGTGTTCCCGTAACAGGATAAGAATATTCGCCACTGAAGAACGGCCACAATCCAACGGATTTCGTGAGAAGCTCGAACTCAAAACTCCAGGCGTAGAAGTCAACGCCATTAAAAGGTACAGTTGTCTTGATCTGTGTATTGCTCAAAAGATTCGGTGCTTGAAGGACAGGACCAGTGAGAGAAGTCTGTTGTTGCTGCAGAAACTGCCGTTGCGGTTGTTGTTGTTGCTGTTGTTGCTCAAACTGTTGTTGCGCTTGCTGCTGTTGTTGAAGAAATTGAAATTGTTGATGTTGAGCAAGTGTAAACGCAAACGAAGAACCAGAACTTGGAGCGGCTGCAGCCCTTGCATAGTTGGAGCCATCAATGCTCATTCCACTAAAAGTTGCTGATATTGATGCTGCTGCTTGTTGCTGTTGTGTTGCAGGTGCAGAGGACGAAGTCCCCGGTGGATGCACAACAGGCAAACCTTGATGCTGTTGTGGCATCCCAATTGAAGAATAAGCAGGTGGAAAGTTTCCAGCTGCAGAGTTCCCTGCTTGACCAGTGTTGACTGTAGGATTTGTAACACCCGTATGTCCAGTTGTTGAAGAACCAGATGATGGAGCAGATGATGGTCAAGTCATGATTGTTGATAGTCGAATTGACAGAAGTCTTAATTCCAGACAGCTCTCATACCATGAAAGAATTTGAAAGGTGGTGCAGGAGACTAATCCCGGATATAAGACCCCCTAGTAATAGAAGACCCTTTGTCTACTATTAGGCGCTTATCTTGTGGTTGTCAACTTATACATATTTGCATATGTATAGTTATAGGCTAGAAGGGTTCGTGCTCTTAAAGAGTACAACACCCAACCATATGTTCCTCTGTATCTGTCATTTCTAATCATTTCACTATTCTAACATGGTATCATAGTAGGTTAGGTCCGCCCACCCGCTTCCGCCCTCGCCCTAGCCTACCGCCCCGCCGTTCCCGTAGCACGCCCCGCCGGCCCTGTTAGCGCGCCCCGCTGGTCCCTTACGTGCCCCACCTGACCCTAGCTCCCCGCCGGCCCTTAGCGCCCCGACGACCCCTCGCGTGCCCGTTGGCCCCTTTGCGCCCCTCGCGCCCTGCCCGGCCTTCGCGCCCCGCTGGTCCCTCCTGCGCCCTCTACGGCCTTCGTTCCCGTAGCACGCCACGCCGCCCCTTTCGAGCCCCGCCAGCCCATCGCGCCTCTCCGGCCTTCTATGCGCTCTGCTAGCCATGTGAGCCCCAGCCGGCCCTTCTACGCGCCGCTGGCCCTGTGAGCCTCGCTCGGCCTTCCGCTCGGTCTTCCCGCCGGAGAGTTCTGCCGCCGCGCCGCTGTGCCGCTGTGTAGCTGTGTCGCTGTGTCGCCATGCCGCTGAGTCGCTATGCCGCTGTGCCCCTGTGTCGATGTGTCACCGTGCCGCCGTGGAGCTGTGCCGCTGAGGTCGCACGATGGCGGACGCTGTACACATCCTGGACGCGGAGGGGCACGCGATCACAGGCCGCCTGGCTTGTCAATCTCCGCCGTCACCTCACAGGCCAGCGTCCGGATGGGCACTCCCTGGCTGTGCATGTTGATGGCTTACTTCCCCGCCCCCCCGCGCCTGATCCCCTCCCTGCTGACCCCACCACTGCTTAGCGTGAGGCCTTTTCTGCTGCTAGTGTTGCTAGCAGCAGTGCAGCCTATCAGTAGGTGTTGCACTAGCAGTAGTGCAGCCTATCAGTAGGTGTTGCACTAGCAGCAGTGCAGCCTATCAGTAGGTGTTGGACTAGCAGCAGTGCAGCCTATCAGTAGGTGGTGCACTAGCAGTAGTGCAGCCTATCAGTAGGTGTTGCACTAGCAGCAGTGCAGCCTATCAGTAGGTGTTGCACTAGCAGCAGTGCAGCCTATCAGTAGGTGTTGCACTAGCAGCAGTGCAGCCTATCAGTAGGTGTTTCACTAGCAGCAGTGCAGCCTATCAGTAGGTGTTGCACTAGCAGCAGTGCAGCCTATCAGTAGGTGTTGCACTAGCAGCAGTGCAGCCTATCAGTAGGTGTTGCACCAGCAGCAGTGCAGCCTATCAGTAGGTGTTGCACTAGCAGCAGTGCAGCCTATCAGTAGGCGTTGCACTAGCAGCAGTGCAGAGTATCAGTAGATGGGGATGGGGAGAGTGAGGGGGGTAAAGCATAAGGGGAAGAGAGTAGCACAGGGGATGCCGGCAATGATGGGCTGTGGGCCCAGGTGGGTTTGACCATCGCATATCGGGGGGCTTTGAGTTTGACCTGTCGCAGTTTAAGCTAGGCGAGAGGGAGAGCCCTGCTACATGTAGGAGCGCCCGAAGAGTGGTCATCTTCGGGGTCGGGGCGAAGGTCTGAAAGAAGTCCACCCCCTCACGCTGACTGAAGCCTCGAGCGACGTAGCACGCCTTGAAGACAGGCGGCTCTCCAGGAGGGTGCTTCACCTTGAAGAGCCACCGGCCATCGACTACGTTCACCCCAGGCGGGGGAACTGCGTCGTTGAAGGTACCGGTGGATCTCCAAGATGCCATCTCCTGCTCCATGGCAGCTATCCACTGAGAGGCCCAGGGTCCCGAGGTGGCCTCAGCGTAGGTGCGAGGGGTCGGGATGTGAAGGGTGTCTTGGTTGCCTGGTGCAACTGCTGCCTCAGTTGAACCCGCCTCTGCCTCTGCCTCTGCCTCTGCCTCTGCCTCTGCCTCTGCCTCTGCCTCTGCCTCTGCCTCTGCCTCTGCCTCTGCCTCTGCCTCTGCCTCTGCCTCTGCCTCTGCCTCTGCCTCTGCCTCTGCCTCTGCCTCTGCCTCTGCTCTGCCTCTGCCTCTGCCTCTGCCTCTCTGCCTCTGCCTCTGCCTCTGCTCTGCCTCTGCCTCTGCCTCTGCCTCTGCCTCTGCCTCTGCCTCTGCCTCTGCCTCTGCCTCTGCCTCTGCCTCTGCCTCTGCCTCTGCCTCTGCCTCTGCCTCTGCCTCTGCCTGCCTCTGCCTCTGCCTCTGCCTCTGCCTCTGCCTCTGCCTCTGCCTCTGCCTCTGCCTCTGCCTCTGCCTCTGCCTCTGCCTCTGCCTCTGCCTCTGCCTCTGCCTCTGCCTCTGCCTCTGCCTCTGCCTCTGCCTCTGCCTCTGCCTCTGCCCTCTGCCTCTGCCTGCCTCTGCCTCTGCCTCTGCCCCTCTGCCTCTGCCTCTGCCTCTGCCTCTGCCTCTGCCTCTGCCTCTGCCTGCCTCTGCCTCTGCCTCTGCCTCTGCCTCTGCCTCTGCCTCTGCCTCTGCCTCTGCCTCTGCCTCTGCCTCTGCCTCAGTGCTGCTGTGTCTGGATGCGTTGAGTAGAGGCTGTGCTGCTGCTCCTCTCAACTGTACCTATGTATAACCTACCATTTATCTCATTAAACATTTGTTGATGGTGGGTGTAGCTTGAGCTGTTTGCAACACACTGTGCTGTGTGAATGGTGCTGTGCATGAATTCTCGATGCATAATGTTTACCTTGTACCGTACATGCAATAAACATCTAAGCAGCCAACTCATGCTTGCTGGGCACCCCAAAACACATGATGCTAGAATGGTGGGTTCAAGAAGCACCTGCCGAATTGTGAGTTGGTCAGCCTCCCGACATTCACAGTGCTGGGCAATTACCGACCCAGCGCCTGGGTCGATAGCACCGAGATGATTAACTGCCATAAATCCTTCAAAAAAGCCATACACATGCCAGACGCATGCTGCGAGCCACAAGGGCAGCAGCAGCTGCAGCATGTGCAGCAGCACTATGCAGCCACAAGGACGGTCCATTGCTCCAACCATGGGGTCCCAGCAGGCATCCACGTGCATGCTGCAAGCCACATGGCTCTTGTTTTGTTCACTCAGTGACTAAGGGCGGCATGAGCAGCAGCAGCAGCAGCAGCAGCAGCAGCAGCAGCAGCAGCAGCAGCAGCAGCAGCACGGTCAACAGCAGCGACCATGAGGTCCCAGAAGCCACGCACGTCCATACTGCGAGCCACATGTGCATTGGGTGGGCGGCCGCTCTGCCGCCACACATCACACACTGTCTGGCCTGCTGACAGCTGGTGGGGACATGATGGGAGCGGCATAGGGAGGTGGGGAGGGGAGGGGACGGAGTGAGACGAGATCAGAGCTGTTCTGATGCCCTGCCACGTTACACACAGATTGGCCGGCTGACAGCTGGTGGGGATGGGGAGCGGGCACATGATGGAAGGGAGGATTGGGGTGTAGAGGGAGGGAGGGAAGGAGAGTGAGCCTCGTGGGCGTTGGCCGCACGGCCGCTCTGCCACCAAGCATCACACACAGTCTGACCTGCTGACAGCTGGTGGGGATGCGAGAGAGTAAGGAGGGAGTGAAGGGAGGGAAGAGCAGGATTGGTTGGGTTGTGCAAGTGTGATTTTATAGCCAATCAAAACGATCGGAAGGGTCACAAGAAAGAAGCAAGGGGGTCGGCAAGGATGGCCAACGGCTCATCTCACTCTGTGCTGTCAACCGGTGCTGGGGTCACTACTTAGCCGCTAACCTCACTCCTTGTCTCAATGCTCACTCTCACTCAAAGATACTTCGTCCACAGAGAGAGAGAGTGCTCACTCCGTGCTGTAAACCAGTGCTGGGTGCTGGCGGTGCTGGGGTCACCTAGCCGCTCACCTCGCTCTTTGTCTCAATGCTAACTCTCACTCAAAGATACTTCCTCCACAGCGAGACAGTGCTCACTCCTCGGTCCATAGCTCACCTCGCTCTTGGTCTCAATGTCCACTCGAAGATGCTCCGTCTGCAGACAGGAAGAGGGAACACGCCCAGACTCAAGGGATACAATTGAGGGAACCGGGGACTTGGGGGTTCAGGCAGGCAGGGTGGCAGGGCGCTGGCAGCAGTGACGTACGCTTCTGAGTCGACTCAAAGCAGGGCGCTGGCAGCAGTGACGTTCTAGTGGAGTGGTACAAAGGTGCACTTGCGCACGTAAATTAACACAGAATGCCAAGACTGGTGCGGCGGGACAAAACATAATGGGAGAGGAGCAACAAGGGGTGCAAAGAATCGAGGACTGGGAAGGGGAACAGGAGGCCCTTACTTATGAGAGAGGTGGCACGATCACAAGTGTGACCACTCGAGGGTCGTGCAGGGAAGGGTGCTGGAAGGAAAAGAGCTGAGTGATTCAGGCACTACTAGCATGTGACAAAAGGGAAACAAGCACGTGACTCTTACCTTGACGAGAGAGGGAGCGATGACAAAGGCGACCGCACAGGGGTCGTGCAGCGGGGGGTGCTGGAATCCAAACACGTCGAGGTATGTGCGGGCGAAGAAATGCATCAAGGCAGAGACTGTGGGGAGCGGAAGGGGGGGGGAGAGAGGATATACGGAGGGGAGTGCGCAGGGGGTCATGGGAGGAGGGGGTGGATGGGACATGCAATAGAGGGCGCTGGAAGCCGAAGACATCGAGGTATGTGCAGGCGAAGAAATGCATGAGGGCCAATACTGTGGGTGGGGGGAGAGGGAGAGAGGATAGGCAGAGGGGAGCATTCACCCTCTCACCCATTCACCCATTCACCACCCATTCACCCACTGACGCATTCACCCATTCACCAATTCACCCACTCACCCGCTCACCCGTTCACCCGCTCACCCGCTCACCCGTTCACCCACTCACCCATTCACCCATTCACCCATTCACCCATTTACCCACTCACCGCTCACCCGCTCACCCGTTCACCTGTTAAGCCACTCACCCGCTCACTCACTCACCCACTCACCCACTCACCCATTCACCCACTCACCCATTCACTCATTCACCCATTCACCCACATACCCACTCACCCATTTACCCACTCACCCATTCACCCACTCACCCATTCACCCACTCACCCGCTCGCCCTCCTCCCACAACCCCTCTGTGTCACCCCTAGCGCCTCCTCTGCCTTTGGCCCCTGAATGTGCTAAGAGAGCAGGACACCAAATCGCAAATCTCGAGCAGAATGCACAAAGTGTCAGCGCCAGCGCCACGTGATAGATGGGCGTCAGCGCCGTGCCACGTGTCGCTTACCTGTTTGCCGGAGCTTTCTCCCCGTGTCGCAGCCCACGCATGTGCCACTGCTGGCAGCAGGAGCAGTGGGTTGGGCAGAATTGCCATCGGCTGCAGCGGTAGTGGGAGTGGAGATCGATGGGGGCTTGCTGGACGGGGGAGCAGGAACAGCATGGGTGGTTCCGCCAGTGACTCCCCTCCCTTCCTGCAAGCTCGCCTCCCGACCCCCTTCGTTGCAGGATTGGGGAGGAGCAGCATGGTCGATTCCGCTAGTGACTCCTCTCCCTCCCTTGCAGGATTCGGAAGGAGGAGGAGCAGGATGGGTGGTGGGTGAGCAGAGAGGGCAGTGAGGGGGCGGGGAGGAGATGCGAGCTGCGACTGACGGGAAGAGCAGGGCGGTGTGAGTGACCTGAGGGGGAGGGAGAACAGAGGGGAGGAGAGAAGAGCAGAGGGGGTTGAGATGGGGGAAGGAAGCAGGCCAAAAATGAGGGGGGTGAGGGAAGAAGGTCGAGAGCAAGGAGAAAAGGAGAAGCGTTCAGAAGAAGCAATGTGTGACCTGAAGCTCACAACGCCATGTGAGCCTCTTGTCAGCTCACAATGCCATGTGAGCCTCATGTCAGCTCACAATGCCATGTGAGCCTCATGTCAGCTCACAATGCCATGTGAGCCTCGTGTCAGCTCACAATGCCATGTGAGCCTCATGTCAGCATGCATGTTGCACAATCCCGGTGCATGTTGCACAATCACCGTGCACGACGCACAATCACTGTGCACGTCGCACAATCAACGTGCACGTCGCACAATAACCGTGGACGTCGCACAATCAGCGTGCACGTCGCACAATCACCGTGCACGTCGCACAATCACCATGCACGTCGCACAATCACCGTGCACGTCGCACAATCACCGCGCACGTCGCACAAGCACCGCGCACGTCACACAATCACGCGCGCTCGCACAATCACCATGCGCATCGCACAATCACCGTGCGCGTCGCACAATCACCGTGCGCGTCGCACAATCACCGTGCGCGTCACACAATCACCGTGCACGTCGCACAATCACCGTGCACGTCGCACAATCACCGTGCATGTCGCACAATCACCGTTCACGTTCCATCATCACCGTGCACGTCGCAGAATCACTGTGCGCGTCGCAGAATCACCGTGCGCGTCGCAGAATCAGCGTGCACGTCGCACAATCACCGTGCACGTCCCACAATCAATGTGCACGTCGTACAATCACCGGGGACGTCGCAGACGCACCGTCATGCATGTTACACAATCACCATGCATGTTGCACAATCACCATGCATGTTACACAATCCTTGTGCATGTTGCACAATAACCTTGCACGTTGCACATTCACCGTGCATGTCGCACAATCACCGGGGACGTCGCAAAAGCGCTGACCATGCATGTTACACAATCACCATGCATGTTGCACAATCACCATTCATGTTGCACATTCACCGTGCACGTCGCACAATCACCGTGCACGTCGCACAATCATCGGGGACGTCGCAGAAGCACCGTCCATGCATGTTACACAATCACCATGCATGTTGCACAATCACCGTGCATGTTGCACAATCACCGTGCACGTCGCACAATCACCTTGCCCGTCGCACAATCGCCGTGCCCGTCGCACAATCGCTGTGCGCGTCGCACAATCGCCGTGCGCGTCGCACAATCACCGTGCATGTCGCACAATCAGCGCGCACGTTGCACACTCACCGTGCACGTCGCACAATAACCTTGGACGTCGCACAATCACCTGGGACGTCCCACAATCACCGTGCTAGTCGCACAATCACTGTGCACGTCGCACAATCACGTGCACGTCGCACAATCACCGTGCACGTCGCACAATCACCGTGCACGTCGCACAATCACCGTGCACGTCGCACAATCACCATCCACGTCGCACAATCACCGTGCGCGTCGCACAATACCGTGCGGTCGCACAATCACCGTGCGCGTCGCACAATCACCGTGCGCGTCGCACAATCACCGTGCGCGTCGCACAATCACAGTGCGCGTCGCACAATCACCGTGCGCGTCTTACAATCACCGTGCACGTCGCACAATCACCGTCCACGTCGCACAATCCCGGTGCATGTTGCACAATCACCGTGCATGTTGCACATTCACCGTGCACGTCACACATTCACCGTGCACGTCGCACAATCACCGTGCACGTCACACAATCACCGTGCACGTCGCACAATCAACATGAGCGTCGCACAATCACCGTGCGCGTCGCACAATCACCAGAGACGTCGCACAACCACCATGCGCGTCGCACAAGCAGCGTGCACGTCGCACAATAACCAAGGACGTCGCATAATCAGCGTGCACGTCGCACAATCACCGCACGTCGCACAATCACCGTGCATGTCGCACAATCACCGTGCATGTCGCACAATCACCGCGCACGTTGCACAATCACCGTGCACGTCGCACAATCACCAGAGACGTTGCACAATCACCATCCATGCACGTCGCACAATCACCATGCGCGTCGCATTATCAGCGTGCACGTCGCACAATCACAGTGCACGTCGCGCAATCACCGTGCATGTCGCACAATCACTGTGCACGTCGCACAATCACCGGGGACGTCGCAGAAGCACCGTCCATGCACGTTACACAGTCACCATGCATGTTGCACAATCACCATGCATGTTGCACAATCCCCGTGCATGTTGCACATTCACCGTGCACGTCGCACAATCATCGTGCGCGTCGCACGATCACCGTGCACGTCGCACAATCACCGTGCATGTCGCACAATCCCGGTGCACGTCGCACAATCACCGTGCACGTCGCACAATCACCATGCACGTCGCACAATCCCGGTGCACGTCGCACATTCACCGTGCACGTCGCACAATCACCGTGCACGTCGCACAATCACCGTGCACGTCGCACAATCACCGTGAGCGTCGCACAAGCACCGTCCATGCATGTTACACAATCACCATGCATGTTGCACAAGCACCATGCATGTTGCACAATCCCCGTGCATGTTGCACATACACCGTGGACGTTGCACAATCGCCGTGCGCGTCGCACCATCGCTGTGCGCATGGCACAATCACCGTGCACGTCGCACAATCACCGTGGACGTCGCACAATCGCCGTGCGCGTCGCACAATCAGCCATGCACGTCGCACAATCCCAGTGCATGTTGCACAATCGCCGTGCATGTCGCACAATCGCCGTGCATGTCGCACAATCGCCGTGGACGTCGCACAATCACCGTGCACGTCGCACAATCACCGTGCATGTCGCACAATCCCGGTGCACGTCGCACAATCACCGTGCACGTTGCACAATCACTGCGCACGTCGCACAATCCCGGTGCATGTTGCACAATCACCGTGCACGTCGCACAATCACCGTGCACGTCGCACAATCACCGCGCACGTCGCACAATCACCGTGCACGTCGCACAATCACCGCGCACGTCGCACAATCACCGTGCACGTCGCACAATCACCGGGGACGTCGCTGAAACACCATCCATGCATGTTACACAATCATCGTGCATGTCGCACATTCACCGTGCACGTCGCACAATCGTCGTGCACGTCGCACAATCAGCGTGCACGTCGCACAATCCCCGTGCACATCGCACAATCACCGTGCACATCGCACAATCACCGTGGTCGTCGCACAATCGTCGTGCGCGTTGCACAATCACCGTGCATGTCGCACAATCAACGTGCATGTCGCACAATCAGCGTGCACGTCTCACAATCACCGTTCACGTCGCACAATCATCGTGCACATCGCACAATCACCGCGCACGTCGCACAATTACCGTGCACATCGCACAATCACCGTGCACGTCGCACAATCACCGCGCATGCCGCACAATCAGCTTGAATGTCGCACAATCACCGTGCACGTCGCAGAATCACCGTGCGCGTCGCATAATTAGCCTGCACGTCGCACAATCACTGCGTGCGTCGCACAATCACCGTGCGGGCCGAACAATCACTGCGCGCGTCGCACAATCACCGCGCCCGTCGCACAAGTCACACAATCACCGCGCGTGTCGCACAATCACCGTGCGCGTCGCACAATCACCATGCGCGTCGCACAATCACAGTGCGCGTCGCACAATCACAGTGCGCGTCGCACATCACCGCGCGCGTCGCACAATCACCGTGCGCGTTGCACAATCACCGTGCGCGTCGCACAATCACCGTGCGGGTCGCACAATCACCGTGCACGTCGCACAATCAGCGTTCGTGTCGCACAATCACCGTGCACGTCGCACAATCCCTGTCCACGTCGCACAATCCCTGTGCACGTCCCACAATCACTGTGCACGTGGCACAGTCGTGGCAACGCATGTTTGCGCGGGAGTGGGTTGAGCCGAGCTTACTTCAAGCTGCACCATGGTGAGAGGGCAGGCAGCCGCTGTTGAATACAATGCCTGCTGCCCCGAAGGGTGCTGGTATTGCATCGTGCTCATGGGTCATGAGTACATGGGGGCAGTGCACTGTGGGCTGTGGGAGCGGGTTGCACATAACATACCTCAAGCGGCACCATGGTGAGGGGGCACCCGCTGTTAAATACTATGCTTGCTGCCTCTGGGTCGCACTGAAGGCAATGGGCGCAGGAGGGGTTTAAGGTGACGGGGGATATGAGGTGACGGGGATATGAGGTGACGGGGATATGAGGTGACGGGGATATGAGGTGACGGGGATATGAGGTGACGGGGATATGAGGTGACGGGGATATGAGGTGACGGGGATATGAGGTGACGGGGATATGAGGTGACGGGGATATGAGGTGACGGGGATATGAGGTGACGGGGATATGAGGTGACGGGGTTATGAGGTGACAGGGTTATGAGGTGACGGGGTTATGAGGTGACGGGGATATGAGGTGACGGGGTTATGAGGTGACAACGCGGGACTGAAACAGACACTCGACACCCGACAATCGGCAACTGGCAACCGACAACCAGCACGACAATCGACAACCGACGACCGACACCGACACCCGACACTTTACAAACGACACCCTCAGCATATCCCTCCTACCTTTCCCCCAGGATGCACTCTACCACCCCTCTCCCCCGCACCTGCATGTTTGAACTCCACTTCTGCACTTGCTGGTGAAGGCTTTTTCAAGCCGAAACTAGTTCATCCTGATTTAATCAAAACCTCTGTCCATCCGTTTACGTTCAAGCTCTCAGAACCGCTGCCTCGCAAAGCATTTTCCAACACGATCCACTCCTCTCCCCCGCACCTAGCTGTTGAACTCCACCCCTCTCCACCCCTCACCCTCTACCACCCCTCTCCCCCACACCTGGATGTTGAACTCCACTACCGCGCCTGCCAGGGGCGGGGTGAGTGAGGGAGGAATGACACATGGGGAGTGGAGTGGGCGATGAGAGGGATGAATGGAGAATGAGGAAACAAGAGAGAGGGGCGCACACCTCTTAGAGAGAGGTGGGAGAAGGGGAAGGAGCAGGTAGTGAGAGGCGGCAGGAAACGAGAAGTAGAGGAGGAGCGAAACATGAGAGGTTAAGGGAGGTGAGTCGTTTCTTACCAGTGTTGCCGAGGCCGAGACAACCTCCTGAGGGCGTAAGAGAAGGGGAGGGCGAGAAGAGAGGTCAAGGAGAGGACAGTCACAGGGGAAGGGTGGGGGGTGGGGGGGGAGAGGGAGGGGAGAGGAGGGGTGAGAAATGGCAGCAGGGAGAAAGAATGGGGCAGCAGGAACGATGACGAGGTGACTTTTGAGTCGACTCAAATGGGGCAGCAGGAACATCGACGATGAACGTTACTGACGCAAACAGTTCTCGTGCCACCTACCCATAATGACGATCTTTGTGCGTTGCCCATGTTGACGGATGTTGATGAGCGATGTGCGACAGGTGCGTGGCGTTGATGCATGGAAAAAGGACGTGCGAGGGAAGGGCATGGACGAGGGAAGGGCATGGACGAGGGAAGGGCATGGACGAGGGATGGGCATGGACGAGGGACGGGCATGGACGAGGGACGGGCATGGACGAGGGACGGGCATGGACGAGGGACGGGGCGAGGGCGAGGGAGAGAGGAGGGAGCGGAGAAGGCGGGCAGTGGATGTGTTTGGCACAACGGGGAATGACACTTCCCTCCTTCCTTCCCACGGAGGGTCTGAAAGGCGCAGAAGGCAATGGAAAGGCAAAGTGCAATGCAATTTGAAGGGCCATGCTTGAGTGACAACTGCAAGGATTGCCATGCTTGAAATGGAAACCCACGTGCTTGACTGGACTCACCTCTATCATAGTCTTGACCCGGGGGTGCAGTGTGAGCAGCAGAGCCGCGTTGGTGAGACTGCCCGTGCACACTAAAGCCACCCTCTCCCTCTTCCCCCCCACACCCCTCCTCCTTCCTCCCTTCCCGCACATCCTCCTTCCCCCCTGAGGCAGCAGTGGCAGCGCCAACAACATTGCCAACGGCGGCAGCAGCAGCAGCATGAGCAGTGTCAGCCATCCATCCCGTCACCCCTGCCTCTAGATCACTTTCTGCCTCTCGCTTCCTCTTTGCTGGAGGTTCCTTCACAGCACCGCCTGCATCCACTCTCCCTGCCCCAGCTGCATCCTCATACACCTTCCCGCCCTCTGCTGCATGCCCATTCCCCACTGCTGCCTCGTTCACGGCCCCATTGCCTCTCCTCTCCATACTGCAACATCGTTTCTCCCTTCCTGACTCCTGCTGGCTTCCCTTCATCGCTGCTTGCCTGCAGGAGCCAGAGACAAGCAGACACGTGGCGCACAAGATAAGAGCAGAGTTGCATGAAAATGCAACAATCTGCTTCTCAGGGCCATTCCATCCGGCCAAGCACCTTGCATGTCTGTCCACTCTACTCTCTTACCTCTCAAGGAACACTGGTTGGATGTGTCGGCACACACGAGTCACCGTTGCTCTACCTCTGTTGCCTGTCAAACATGGTTCCATTACCCTCCACAAAACGCTCCTTCTCTCGTCCTTACCTCTCAAGGAACGCCCGTCGGATGTGTCGGTACATCTGAGTCACTGTGGGCACATCCCCCTCCTCCTCACCCCCTCCCCTCCCCTTCTCTCCCCCTCCTCCCTCCCCCACCCGTCTCCCTCACTATCCAGCCACCTCCTCCGCCTCCTCTTCTGCCGTTCCCCATAGCGGCGTCACCTCCCCCTCCCCCTCTCCTCCCCAACCCCATCTGCGCTCTCCTCCCCATCCTCCCTTCTCCCTTTACCTTCCTTCCCCTTCCCCGCTTTCCTCTCCCCCGCGCCTCCCCTGCTCCTCCCCTGCGCCTCCCCCTGCGCCTCCCCCTGAGCCTCCCCCCAGTCGGGCCCATCCAGCCCGGATTCCCCATGAATCTCGGCGCAGTGCCGCCTGGCGCGCATCAGGGGGCTGGCTTGGCCGCAGTACACGGCTGACATTGGGGTAGCGAATAGGGTGAAGGGAGCGGGAACAACTCGCAAAAGGATTTGAGACTCCGATTCCCCGTGGATCTCATCTCAGCGCAGTGCGGCCTGGCGCGCATCAGGGGTGAAGCTAGGCCACAGAGCACAGCTGGGACGGGTTGCAGGGAGGGGAAGCACGGCAAGCACGTGAGTCCTCAATTCCCCGTGGATCTCAGTGCAGCGCCGCCTGGCGCGCATCAGGGGCGAAGCTGGCCACAGAACACGGCTGGTGGTTGGGCAAGGGAAAGGACTGGGATGGCGGTTGGGATGGCGTAGCGGGATGGGAGGCAGTAACTCATTCTGGGAGGGGGTGATGGGAGGGGGGTGATGGGAGGGGGGTGATGGGAGGGGGAAAGCGCAACAAGAACGAGTCGCCAATTCTTCGTGCATCTCATCTGAGCACACTGCCTTCTGGTGCGCATCAGGGGACAGGCCTTCTGGGGGCCTGCCCGCCCGCCCGCAGCACATGGCTGGTGGTGGGGGAAAGTGGGGGTGAGGGGAAGCGAAGAGAGAAAATAAGTGGTGCTACAGGCGTGAGCTCAAGCCTGCCATGTTGGCACGAGCTCAAGCCTACCATGATGGCACGAACAAGGAGGCCGGCGCACAGGCGGCATCCAAGCACTGGGGTAGTCTCTCCCCCCCCACCCCCCCCAAGTCCTGCAGCTACCCTGGGCCCAGCCAGCGAGCGACTCACGGATGTCAGGCCGCGCGCACAGCAGCAGCACGCGCCTCGCATTGGTTGTCACCTTGTGCACCTGGCGCGGTTGGGGGGGTTGGGGATTGCAGGGCGGAGGTGTAGGACGGGTGGGAATAGGGGGTTGGGGGGGGGCTTGGGGAGTGGTTATGGGAGGGAGTGGAGTGGAGCGATAGCACGAGGAGAGGAGGTGCCAAGGGCGGGGGAAGGGACGTGGGGAGGGAAGTCAAGGATTATTCTAGCACGTGGCACTCACTGATTGGTTGCCGTGAACAGTGCTGATGCCGAGCAGGTGCAGGGACGGGGTGTGGGCAGCAAGAATGATGGCCATGGCGTCATCGTGACCTGCAGTGAGTCAGCATGACATCAGCATTGCAGGCAATGAGTCAGCACAACGTCATCCTCGAAGAAAGCAACGCACGTGTCGCTGAATGCGGCGATGACTACGAGCCAGGTCGCGACTACGGCCATCATAGCATCCATTTGCCCCCTCCATTGCGACCACATTGCTCCCCTCCGCGCTGCTTTCTTCCGCGCGCCTGGTTGCTGCACGGGAGATCCGGGAGGGGACCAACGTTAAGTGCGAAAGCTGAGGAGAGGCACGCTCTGGGCGCTGGCGCAAGGCGGAACAGCGGATGCTCCAGCGGGGGTGACGGCACATTCCCTCACTTCCGCGCGCCTGGTTGCTGCACGGGAGATTCGGGGGGGAACCACCATTAAGTGCGAAGTATGAGGGAACACATGCACTGGGCGCTGGCGCAAGGCGGAACAGCGGATGCTCCAGCGGGGGTGACGGCACATTCCCTCACTTCCGCGCGCCTGGTTGCTGCACGGGAGATTCGGGGGGGAACCACCATTAAGTGCGAAGTATGAGGGAACACATGCACTGGGCGCTGGCGCAAGGCGGAACAGCGGATACTCAAGCGAAGGGGCGGCGAATTCGCGCTCTATTTCTATCTGCGCGAGGAGCGCGGCCTCTACAGCGCGATTACTCCCGCTGCTGCGCCGCCCCAGCGCATCCCCCACCGCACCTGGGTCGCAGTCCAGCCACACCGGCCGCGGCGACGCCATGGCCACGAGACCCCGCGGACGAGCGCGCAGGTGCGAATGCGGGTGGAGCGATGATGCGCGCAAGGGCCTGAGTTGCAAGAATGGAGAGAAAAAAGGTGAAGGCACGTAGTGGAAAAACGGAATGGCGAAGTGGAGGTGAGGGGTATCGATCCCCTTACCTATCGCATGCGAAGCGATCGCTCTACCATGTGAGCTACACCCCCATGCAAATCAGAACACACATATAAATATTTCTTATTTTTGCATGAGAAACATCCTTCTGTAAATCAGACCTCCTTGAGAAACACTATGCGAGCTAAAATTACTTGAGGGTGGGAACGAGTTGCTTGCCATCATACATGCACCGCAGAGCAGGAAGTGAGTGCGTTTGTGAGAGGACCCGAGATTGGAACTTGGACGAGGCCGGGGTAAATCAAGCAGTAAGTGGTGCAGGCGCACGCGTCGGTGAGGGCAGGGCCGGGTGCTGTGCTGAGAGCCCTGTGCTGGGGGGCGGGGTATGAGGGGGCTGGGTGTGGTGTGGGGGGAGGTGGTCTGCTTCTACAGGGTATCTTGTGGTGGGGTGTGAGAGTGCAAGCAAGGTGCACGTTGCCCTTTTCTTCTGTAGCAAGTTTTATTAGTGGTCATACATAAATAACCAAACCAAACATTCCGTACTGGGAACACAGATGGTGCTACTATACCCAGGATCGAGACAATGTTTGCTCAGCACTCAGCAGCGCTGACTGTCCAGCCGGAGAGCCAGGAGGAAGAGGCCTTCTCTCCACCCTGTACCGCGAACCGCAATCCTGACAAACACGAGTGACTAAGGGCGGCAATAACTATCGTTAAACAACCAGGTCCGTGTTAGGTCAGGGTGACGCGAAGGATAGGCAGAGGCGTTGAAGCAGAGGAGGCGATTGGTTCTGTCAAGCGTGACGCTGGAGGCCGTGGTTCTTTGCCGCTTGGCCGACAGCTTTCTCCGCTGGAGGAAAAGAATTCTGCATGCTGCCAGGAACAGTGGTAGCAGCCTAGCACCCCGTGGAGCGCTTCAAGTGTGGAGAGAGGTTCATTCATGCTCTCCGCACGCGAGTGAGCTCGAGAAAGCTATGCTATGTGCGAACAGGCAGTGGGCAGGCGGGCAGTATGTGGTGCAGGCGCACGTGGTGGGAGGGCAGAATGAAGTGGTCTGCTGTGACAGAGCTGCTATCTTGAGACGGAGGGGATGCCAGACTTTGAGGCTGAGGATGTGGGGTGTTATGATGAGCGGGTGCGGCAGTGGCGGGTGGGAGAGACGGCAGGGCGAGGGGGAGCCAGGCGACGGTGAGAGTGGAGGGTGCAAGGTGGGGGGGGAAGGCGAGGAGGAGGTGGGCGGGCAGGTGGGGCGCGGGGAGAGAGAGCGAGCGCATGCCGTGGAACTGGGGGGGGGGGGCGCATGGCAGGAGGGGGTGGGAGGAGAGTGGAGGGGAGCGCATTGAGGAGGGGAGCGCATTGAGGAAGGTTGTGAAGCGGAGTGGAAGCGGGATGGTCAGAGAGTTGCACACATGGGCAAACATAACACATGCTGTGCAGTGCGCCTCCCACCTGGCACATGCCGTGCAGCAGCAGTCTGAGGAAGGCGTCTTCTGCAGCGAACACCAACACCCCTCGCTCTGCAGCGCCCCCCTTCACGCCATGCGCCCCCAGGGCACTCTCCACGTCGCCCCATGCTGCCTGCACACACCAATCCGGCAACACACTCCCCAGCCCTCCATGCTCGTCATGCTCCCTCTCCCCACCCTCCAGCTCCTGCTGCACCCCCTCCTGCTGAGGCTGCTGCTGCACCTCCTGCTGCCCCTCCTGCTCCTCCTCACCACCACCCCCAGCGAGGCCTGCTGCGCACGGAGCAGTGCTGCTGCCCTCCTGCTGCCATCCGCGGTGCTGGGGTTGATGTCCCCATTGCCACTGCAAGCCGTGCCCACAGCGCTGCTAGCAGTGGCAGTGGTGGCGTCAGCAGCAACCGTGGCAGCAGCAGCAGACGAAGCAGCAGCAGCAGCAGCAGCAGGTGGCTGCAGGAAGGCGACCAACAGTGACTGAGGGAGGGAGGGAAGGACAAGGGGGTGGGGGGAGAGAGACAGCAGAAGGAGTCAGACGGGACGGGGAAAGTGCGGGCGACCGGACTGATCCTGCTATAGACACAGCACACAGCGATTGCACAAACTTCAGCATTCACAGAGCATGCATCGACCTCGATACAGCCGCACCACGCAGTAACTGCGTTGTGCCAAAACTGCTGCACGTAGCACAACAGTTTCTTGATGCGCGCCCCACCTCAACAGACCCCACAACAGCCCAGTCTACCGGCCCCCTGATGGCCCCTCTGGCTGCTGCAGGCACAGCCCCCATGTGGTGCATGTGGAAGGCACATCACCTGCTGATGCCACTCATTTCAACAGCCACTCACCTCAACGGACCCCACCAAAGCCCAGTCTGCCGCCCGTCTCATGGCCCCTCTAGGTGCTTCAGATACCAGCTTCCATGCTGCATCCGATGCATGTGATGTCAAAGGCAGACCGCCTGTCAATGCCACTCACTCACCTCAACGGACCCCACCACAGCCCAGTCTGCTGCACGCCTCATGGCCCCTCTCGCCGCTTCAGGCACCCTCTTCCATGCTGCCTGCGAGGCCGCCACCGCTGCCGCCCCTGCTGCTGCCACCGACTGCTGGTCGCCAGTGCCAGCCTGCTCTTGCTCTCGCTTGCTCTTCCCCTTGGCCTTGCGGGATGGCAGCTGTGGGCGGAGAGGGGAGGCGCGGCGTGACAGACAGACAGGAAGACCAGGAGAATGTTGCCTGCATTCATTGCAGCTTACAATAGACGTTCCCGAATGGGCTTAAAGAGAGCTGCAAGCTGTACGAGTGAGAGGAGAGAGGGACCCACCAACCCTCTAAACCCACCCTGTTGAAGGTGGCCTCATGAGGTACTGCAGGTAGACAAGGCCTCAAAAGGGGCGCCTCCAGACACACTCTTGCTTGACAGAGGCTCAGTGTGGCAAGAGCTGGCGCAGCGACTCACCTTGTTGAAGGTGGCCCCTGCAAGGTACTGCTGGCAGACAAATGCCTCAAAGGGCGTGGCTAGAGACACGTCTGACAGCCGCTCCAGCACTGGCCGCTCCGTCTTCTCGCCTGCGAGAGAGACGATGCGAGAAGGGAGAAGAGAAGGGTGTCAAACCAGAGAGCGCAGAGGAACAAGGCTAGGGAATGCTCTAAAACACCTTGCAACGTACCCCAGGGCGGCGGCGCATAGAGCGAGGTGACATCGGGCCCCGTGAGTGGCCCCGCCATGTCCTTGAGCAGCCGCTCGTTCACCCACCGCCGCGCCTTGCGCTGATGGTGGGGAGGGACAGGGGAGGGGGGGGAGAGCAGAGTGATTGTGCAGGGAAGGGTGGAAAGATGGGAGTCTGTAGTGGGTGGGTGGGTCAGCTGCAATCAGAACCACCGGGCCCCGTGCGTGAGCGGCCCCGCCATGTCCTTGAGCAGCCGTTTCTTGCCTTGCGCTGACACACGGGGGAAGAGAGAAGGGGGGGGGAGAGGGGCTTTGGGGAAGATTGGGAGGGGAAGGTTGAAAGATAGGGAGCCTGCAGTGGGCCAGCAGCAATCAGAAAATGGAGGGGAGGGAAGAGGAAGAGGAGCAGGGCAAGAGGTCTTCTGGTGAGAAGAATAAAAGAGACTGCCAACCTGGTGCTTGCCATGGACGCCACATACCTTGCCTGACAGCGGCAGTGCGTCTGGTGGCAGCATGAGGGAGGAGGCGATCACGGCTGGGGGGGGAGGGGGGGGGGAGAGAAAAAAGGAAGGTGTCAGCACATGGCGAAGAGGGGTAAGACACACATGGTGTGAGGGGAAGGTGGTAATATCGCCATGGCCAGGTGCGTGCAATATCGCCATGGCTATGGGCGCACGTCATGCAGCCCGAAGACGCACACACATCACCACCCGTCTCACCATGGGAGTGCGCCTGCGCGTTGCGCGGGTCGTGCTCTTCCCCCTTGGTGCTGCGCGCCTTGCCCTTCCTCCGCCTCCCCTGCAAGTCGTCGCCGCCGTTGACTGCGCCGAATGGTGGGGCGGAGGGAGACGGGGAAAGAGAGATCATAGAAAATCCTAGAAATTGAATTAAATTCAATATAAAGCAGAGTCGAACAGAACAACAAATGCGAGGCAAAAGAGCCATTTGCCTTTAAAATGTACTTCGAGAAGCATGACTTCGAAGTGTCAATCGACGTGCGCTGAGCCAGACCAGACGACCAGATGGCATCCACGTACCGTATCGCGATTGAATGAGCCAATTGTGAAACGACATCTGGCCATGGCTGATGGATCCGAAGGTCACTGAATCGGCCATTACGTCAAGCGGAATCGGACGATAGCCGTGCGACAAGGAGAAACACCCTGCGCTCAGATGTACGCCGCTGTCAGCGGAAAAACCACCGTAGCTTCGATACGACTGAAAGCCTAACCTAATGTCCAAGCTACGTTAGTAGCAACCAGGCAACCAGAGGTCCACGTTCTCAGGCGAATTAACGGCTCTCCGAGACTGAAGCTGAACGCCAAGGAAGCGACTCGCAAGTCTGGAAACGGTATTATCTAGGCGATCTGTGGGTCTGATCTTGGCCTTGCTGGAGTCTGCGTGTGCTGCACTCAACAAGCAGGGGAAAGGGTTCCAAGCAATTCGTACTCGTAATGCATGATGCGCAAACAAAACAAGTAAATTTCTACAGTGTGAGCTTTATCAAAGATCCCAAGAAACTTTGCGCGGAGCGGGAAAATTGCGGAGCATTTCTGCTAGGTTGGCGGGGAAACTTGCGCGCAGTTCTGACAGCGGGGGGGTGGGGGAATCGGCGGGTATGGGGATGAATGCGCGTCAGGCGCATGAACCGACGCAAGCCGAGCTCAGCCGCCAATCGCACGCTCGCACAATCTCCTCTCAACCACTAAGGTCAGGCCTTCTGGCCTACGTTCCTCCCCCGAGCAGCGCATCTTGTCGCAGGGCAAAAAGTGCATGGTTTGCGAACCAGTGACCCGTGTAACATCAGACTAAACCAGCATCGTGTCCTGTGCGAAAAGTTTCCAGCTTTCGCCGTCCGTCTGGATATTATCGCCACCACCACCACTCTGCACCGCAACCGCCTCCAATCATCCCATCAGCCTCCCCGCGAGTTTCACTTTGCTGTCACTCACCAGCAGACTCGCCACCACCACCTGCAGACTTCGCTGTTCCTCCTCACTACAGCCAATTCACCTGTCTAGTCTCACTTCATTGCCGCTCGCGTCTTGGGCTGCGGCGGAGCCGTTAGTCGCCATTCTCAGCTGACTGCGGCTCCGTATTGCACATTGCGTGATAGTTACCCCTCTCGCCATGGCCGCGGTGCAGATCGCCGCAGCTGTCGCAATGTCTGATCCGCGGGTCACCTCAATGTCCATGTCGTCGCCCGTAGTACAGTCGCGCCGCCTGTCTCATTCGCGTGCCGTCGCCAATCCCACCTTGCGACTCCTCTCCTCAACCTTGCCACATACAAACCTCTCCTCTCGACGAGACCGCAGTTTACGCCAACGCGTCGTAGCCGCGCGCCGCTCCTTGCCATTGCGCGCCGAGCCTCGCGTCGGCGAGCGAACAGTACAACCACCGTCTCCCCGCAGCTCACGGAAAGCCGTGCGCGCGTCGGCCGTAACGGCGCCGAAAGAAGGAGCCCAGGCGGCTTCCCCCGCTGCGGCAGACGCGCGATCGCGGGAATCGGCGGACCTCGCGGAGGTTGGCGGAAATGGCGCGGGGCGGGCAGCGGAAGCTGAAGCGACGGCGGTGGTGCTGCTGGACGTGCGCGAGATGATGTGCGGGGGCTGCGCCGCCGCCGTGCGCCAGGTGCTCTCCGCGCATCCGCGCGTCATTAGCGCCGGCGTGAACCTCGTCACTGAATCCGCGGCTGTTACTGTCTCGCTCCGCGCGCCTGAGGCTTCCGGCTCCCCTACCGCCCCCGCTTCCCCCTCCGCGTCGTTTCCGTCCGCTTCCGCCAAGCCGAGCGCAGAGGCGGCGGAGCTCGACTCGCTGCGCGCCGAGCTGGCGGAGCTGGTGGATGACGCGGGGTTCCCGTGCTCCGTGCGCAGTGCGGCCGAGGCGGACGAAGAAGGTAGTGGGGGGAAGCGGAGGTACAAGGGAGTAGAGGAAACGCATGGGGGAGGTAGGGACTAGAGAGGAAGGATCAATATTCACCACTCTAGCACCGCTCCCTCTCCCTTCGCTTATCTTCCTCCCCCTTCCCCCCCCCACCCCACCCTTCTCCGTCTTCTCCCCTCCTCCCATTCCCTCCCCACGACCCCCGCCAGCGGAGGCGCGGCGGAGGGAAGCGGCGGAGCGGAGGCAGCGCGCGGTGGCGCGGGCGCGTGTGGACGTGGCGGTGGCGGGGGTGCTGGCGGGGCTGTGCTGCGCGCACCACGTGGGGCACCTGCTGCACGGCATGGGGCTGCACGCCCTGGCGCACGGTAGGCATGGGGCTGCACGCCCTGGCGCACGGTATTGCCTATAACCCCCTTTGCCCTCCTCTCCCATGGTCTGCATGGTGTTAGCCGGGGGGTGATGTGCTATTGTGCTGCGCACCACGTGGGGCACCTGCTGCTGCACACCCCCGCACGGTACGCATTGTGCGCGCCTGGTTCCAGGTGACTCGCAAGCGCCACGCCATGAATAGCAAGCGCCACGCCATGCCACGGTTGCATGCATGGGGCTGCACGCCTCCCTTGGGCACGGTATGCATTGCGTCAGTGAACTTGCGAGGTGGGTGTTAAACTCGTTAGAATCGCTCCCATTCCTCTCTGAAACTTTGCCGGCCCCGCGGATGGCTGTGTTGGGGATGTGCGAGAGCCAGCCAGCTGGTCATGGTCCATGGTCCACTCAAAGCGCTCGTGCTGCCATTCCCTCTCCTCTCTTCTCCTCTCCTCCCCCTTTATGCGCCCCGGCCCATGCCGCGCCCTGCCAGGCACGTGGATGGTAGTGTTGGGCGATGTCAGAGCACTACCCTCGAGCTGATCGTTCAGTGCACTCAAAAGCTCCTGTGCTGCCGTTTCCTCGCCTCCTCTCTCCCTGCCTGCGCCCCTGCCTGCGCTCCTGCCTGCGCCCCGCCCCGCCAGGCCCGTGGATGGCGGTGCTGGACGACGTGAGAGTGCGGTCTGCCATCGCTGCTGTGGCGCTGCTGGGACCCGCCAGAGGTACTGTGCCTTATTTGGTAGGAATCCCGGAAGCATGCTGGTCAGAGGGAGGGACTGCTGGTAACACACTCTTTCCTTGCCTCACCTATCTCGCTCGCCTCTGCCACCCACCACCCTCTCGGACTCGGCCTGCACTCTCCTCCCGTGCACCCACCACTCTCCTCCCGTGCGCCCACCGCCCTTCTCCCGTGAATCCACTGCCGCACCAAAGCCATCCCTTCCTTCCCCCCCCCCCGTCCTTGTCCCCTCTTCCCATCCGCCTTCCCACCCCCCCCCCCACCCCCACCCCCCCCCCCCACCAGACCTGCTGTGGGACGGGCTGAGCGCCTTGTCGCGCCTCACACGCAGCAGCAGCGGCTCATGCCCATCCTCGTCCTCGTGGCCTCTTCCCACGCCCCCATTCCCATTTTCCCCCTCCCCCCTTCCACCCACCACACCCCCCCACCCACCACCAGACCTGCTGTGGGACGGCATGAGGACCTTCCTGCGCCTGTTGCCCAACATGCGCTATTCATGCCTGCCCCCCCGCCTCCCATACCCCTCCCCATCACTCCATCCATCCACCCAACCCCCCCCTCCCCCCACCAGACCTGCTGTGGGACGGCATGAGGGCCCTGCTGCGCCTGTCGCCCAACATGAACTCCTTGTGGGCCTTGCCTCCCTCGCGGCCTTCTGCATCGGCGTGGTCAGTACTCCCCCACCTCCTCTCCCTAGAGGGCCTCGCCTCCCTCCCCTCCTGTTTTTCCAACATGAACTCCCTTGAGGGCCTCGCGTTCCTCGCTGCATTCTGCATCGGCGTGGTCAGTACCCCCCCTCCCCCCAACCACATTCCTATCCCCACCACACTCCTATCCCCACCACACCCCCCCCGTCTTTCATCCTGAACGTTCTCCTTTTCCTCGCCTCACTCTCCCCCTTCTGCATCGGCATGGTTAGTACTCCCACCTCCCCTCCTCCTCCCCTACCCCCTGCACTCCCCCCTTCCATCTTCGCTTCTCCCTTCCCGCTTGTCCCCATTCAACACCGCCCCCCCCCCCAACAGCACAGCAGCACATCCCTGTCCTCCTGCCCCTGCAGCGGCATTCTGTGTCTTCGTATCTCACCTAACCATCCTCCATTTTAAGTCCCCAACCCCCACCCCTCCCCCCCAATCACCCCCGCCCACTTCCCCACCCCTCCCCCCAATCACCCCTACCCACTCCCCCACCCCTCCCCCCAATCACCCCTACCCACTCCCCCACCCCTCCCCCAATCACCCCCGTCCACTCCCCCTCCTTCCCCACAATCACCCCCGCCCACTCCCCCTCCTTCCCCCCCAATCACCCCCGCCCACTCCCCCTCCTTCCCCCCCAATCACCCCCGCCCACTCCCCCTCCTTCCCCCCCAATCACCCCGCCCACTCCCCCACCCCTCCCCCCAATCAACCCCGCCCACTCCCCACCCTCCCCCATCACCCCCCGCCCACTCCCCACCCCTCCCCCTCGATCACCCCCGCCCACTCCCCTCCTTCCCCCCCAATCACCCCGCCCCTGCAGGTGGCCCAGCTGTACCCCGACCTCGGCCTCGACTCCTCCTTCACTGACGAGCCTGTGAGTGCTGCTCCCTGCTCCCTGCTTCCTCCTCCCTTACGGTAGACGGTGGACGGCGTCCACCGGTGGGCGCTGGACGGTGGACGGTGGACAATGGACGGTGGACAGTGGACGGTGGACGGCGCCCACCGGTGGGCAGTGGACGGTGGACGGTGGACGGTAGACATGGTTAAATCGCATCGCATCGCGTTATATCGCATTTTGCGATAACGATAAAAAAAGAAAGAAAAAAAAAAGAGAATATCGCGGCGATGCGATGCGATAATATCGCGCGATATTTGCGATATCGCGTTTTTTATCGCTCTATTTTTTGCGCGATAACATGCGATATGCGATAAAAAAATACCGCATGGCAGTTCAACATAGCTCCCTATCCAATTTGCCGGTGCACTCTAATTTTCCTTGAAATGTACCCCTGGCGATGCGATAAATTATCGCATCGCGCGATACATCACACTCTGCAGTGCGAAAAAAAAAAAAAAAAAAAAAAATCGCGCTAAAATCATGATATGCGATTTTCATTTTTTCCAAAAACATATCGCGGCGATGCGATATTGCATCGCATCGCTTTTTTAACCATGTCTAGTGGACGTCGTCCACTGGTGGACGGTGGACGGTGGACGGTGGATGGCGTCCACTGGTGGGCAGTGGACGGTGGACGGTGAGCGGTGGATGGTGGACGGCGTCCACTGGGTGGACGGTGGACGGCATCCACCGGTGGGCGGTGGACGGTGGGCGGTGGACGATGGACGGTGGACGGTTTCCACCGGTGGACGGTGGACGGTGGACGGCGGATGGTGGAAAGTGGATGGTGGACGGAGGACGGTGGACGGTCGATGGTGGGTGGCGTCCACCAGTGGACGGTGGATGGTGGACGGTGGACCGTAGACAATGGATGGCGTCCACCGGTGGACTGTGGACGGTGGGCGGTGGGCGGTGGGCGGTGGGCGGTGGCGGTGGACGGTGGGCGGTGGGTGGTGGACGGTGGGCGGTTGGCGGTGGACGGTGGGCGGCTGCCTGCTCTAAACAGTCTATTGGTAATGCGAACCCGCTGCCCGCTGCCCTCTCCCCGGTTTCTCTTGTATCTTACGTGTCCCCCGCCCTCTCCCCGCGCGCCCATCCCTGCAGGTCATGCTGCTGGCAGTGGTGCTCCTGGGTCGGTCGCTGGAGGCCTCTGCCCGGGCCCAGGCTTCCTCCGACCTCAATGCGCTCATGGTGAGGCTCGGTGCGCTCATGGTGAGGCTCGGTACGCTCATGGTGAGGCTCGGTGCGCTCATGGTGAGGCTCGGTGAGCCCGTGGCGAGGCTTCTTTGAGGAGAGCAAGTTTTGCAAGATGCCAGTAGGCGAGGCCAAATGCCTCATGCCTCGTGCTTTGTGCTCCGTGCCGCTTTTTTATGCTTGCCCACCCACGTCCATCGAGCCTTGTGAGCACCCCCCACACCCCACACCCCACACCCCACACCCCACACCCCACACCCCACACCCCACACCCCACACCCCACCCCCCACACCCCACACCCCACACCCCACACCCCACCTCTTTGCACAACCCATCTCCCCCCTTGCTGTCTTCGACGGCCAGGGGAGGGGCCAACAAGGAGCGGTGGGGGTCCGTGGTCGTCCCTATCTTTCTGTTGCCCCCCCCCCCCCTCATACTTCCCCTGTTTCCCCCACACTGACAGCGCAGGGGGCGAGCAGGGCGGGGGGGCAGGGGGGAGCAGAGCAGCCAGAGGGCTCTTTCTTTCCTTGACTTGTTCTTCTTTTCCGCTGCTCCCTTTGATCCCCTGCCTCTGCTCCCCCTCGTGTTCCTTCCCCACCTGCCCCCCAGTCCCTTCTGCCCTCCACGGCCCGCCTGCTTGTTGACGACGACAGCACTGAAGGCGAGCAGGCTGAGGGGGCGGGGGGCAGGGGTGGTGAGGGCGGGATGGAGAGTGGGAGTGAGGAGGAGGGCGAGGGGGGGTTGGCGCTGAGCATGGCGGCGTGGGTGCAGGTGCCAGCCAACCACGTGCGCCCGGGGACAAGGTCCTGGTGCTGCCTGGTGACGTCATCCCTGTGGATGTGAGTGACGTCATCCCTGTGGATGTGAGTGCCTAGATGCTGGAGTGGGAGGCTGCAGATGGTGGTGATGGCGAATGCCAGTGGCTATAGATCAAGCGACCACATGCATCGGTGGCGTCATCCTATGCAATCTTTCTATCCCCTCTGTGTCAAGTCGCAGCTCAGTGGACTCACTGCCCTGTGGCTACTGTCATTGTGCCAGCATGCTGCGATCGTTTGTTCCACACCCCTCCCTCCCAGGGTTCGGTGGTGTGTGGGCGCAGTGCCAAGGACGAGTCCCTCCCTGCAGACAGACGGAGGGAGGGAAACGGCTGAAGAGTCTTTAGCCCTGTTTCAGTGATGCATGTGCTGCTCGTCGCACTTCTTCCCTCCTCCACCCAGGGCTCGGTGGTGCACGGGCGCAGTGCCGTGAACGAGTCGCTGCAGACGGACGAGGCAGCCACGGTGGCAATACACCATCCCTCATATCGTCTTCCCCTCTCCCTGCACTTCCCCCCTCCTTGCCCTTGCCCTGCGTCACTCCATGCGATCACAGGGCACGGTGGTGCACGGGCGCAGTGCCGTGGACGAGTCCCTGCAGACGGGCGAGGCAGCCACAGTGGCCAAGCGCAGGGGTGCTGCTGTGGCTGCCGGCACGGTCAACTGGGTGAGTCAAGGGACATTGCACGCAGCATGTTGTCAGTGAGACAAAGGCACAACCCTTTGCTCCCAGTGGCAGCTGCATTGCTCCTGGTGGCGATTGCACTGCTGTGCCCAGCTTGTCTCTCATGCCCCCCCCCTTTCTGCCCGTGCCCCTCTCCCCCTGGTCTCCTTTTCCCCCTGGTCTCCTTTTCCCCACAACAGGAGGGGCCCATAGTGGTGGCAGCAACAGCCACGGGCGCCAGCTGTGCGGTGTGTGAGATGGCGCGGCGAGTCGAGGACGCCCAGCAGCGCACGGCGCCGGTGCAGCGCCTGGCGGATGCCATCGCAGGGCCGTTTGTCTTCACCATCATGTCGCTCGCTGCCGCCACCTTTACCTTCTGGTGCGCCCCTGCTCTAAGCCCTATACTACACCCCAAACCCATAAAACCCCGTGAGCTAGAACACCTATGCACAGCGTCAGTGTAGCACCTGGCGGACGCCATTGCGGGGCCCATTGTCCATCATGTCGCTTGCATCTGCCACCTTGGCCTTCTGGTTTGGGCCTGGCCTGTTGCCTTAAGCCCTAGACCTCAAATCCTTGAAATCTAACCCCGAATAGACACTGCGCGGGTGCAGTGCAAGACGCCTTCGCAGGGAGGGCGTTGCCATATAGCGAGTGGGTCGCCATATGGCGAGGGGGTCGCCATATGGCGAGGGGGTCGGCATGTCGCGAGTGGGTCGCCATAAGGGGTGGGGTCGACATATGGCGAGGGGTTCGCCAATGG